AAATCCGTTTTCCACGAGACAAAATTCTACTGGCTACATATTTTTTTTATATAAAAAAGTTGCTTTCTGATTTCTTTTTTTGACATGTTAAATGACTATTTTTGTTCCTTATTGAATACTATAGTAGAATGTAGGACAGTAAGTCACAGGACAAAAAGTCACGGACGAAAAGTCACAATTCAGTTTTGAGATTATTTTTCTTTGAACAAGAAAACACTAATTTTAAAAATAATTTTTTGATTTTTTATTGAACTATAATATATGAAGCAACTTTGTAATTAAAATTTATTCAATAAATATCAATGATGATCAAATAATTGTTATGATAACAAAATGTCAAAGTGGTTTGGCACTTAAATGGCTTCATGGTGCCAAGAAATATATTATTTGCATGATTAAAATTTAATAATTTTTCATTTATCAAGGTTTATGAACAATTTCCTGAACTTAAAAATGAATAAATGTAAAAAAAGATATTATTTGAAGATCTTTCTCTTATATATTCAAACAATTGTCAATAAATTATTTGTGACTTTTTGTCCTATCCAATTTGTGACTTTATGTCCTGTGACTTTTGTACTGTGACTTTATGTCCGTTTACCCTATTCATAGTATAGCCCAGTGTTTCTGTTAAAATAAAGTTCTGGTCATGGTTAAAATAATGTCAGAATTTGTTTAGTTGTAAAAACAATTACCAAGTAATAAGTGATCGGAGGGCAATAAATTGCGTAATCGCACACCTGCGAATCCACAGTCACAACTCTATGGAAATAATGACCGGAAAATCGGACACACATAATTTCACTGTGTAATTTAGAAGCAAACTTTAGCAAAGAAAGGTTTCTTGTAATATCATGATCATTACCAGATTTTACTTTTTAAATTAAAATACCGAAAAAAAGAAAAAAATATTTTCTCAATCAAATACATTAAAAAAAATACAACTATTTCAAGTAGTTTTTTAGAAAAAGAATTTATTTGATCTGAAATAAGTTTTCCTATTACTTTTCTTGATTAGCTATCGAGGTTATTCATCCCTGACTTGTCTACATGTTGTAGAATAATTATCGACGAGAATCTCATTCCGGGCCGCGTTTTTTAACGGGATTTCACGGAGTTGCCAATCTCTGTGTATATATGTCTCTGATTATATTAAATTCTTGGTTTTACAAAACAAAGGTGTGATCTTTTAAATTTATTAAGTTGCTTTATATACTATTCTAAATATATTTTAATAAAAAAAATGTTCACTGCATTATTAACTAAACTCAACTGACACCATAAATCTATTCTAGGCTTAAGTAAATGGTGAAAATTGTCCAGTTACCATAAAATATATCTGAAACATTCAAAAAATTTTGAATAACATTGTAAATATTAGTCACAATTCAGTTTTGAGATTATTGGATCACCTTGTTTTATTTTTATTTTAAAGGTGATATATATATATATGTAAGTGTTGATGAATATGGTGTTGAATTTATATTATGTTTATTGTAAAATTTTGGTTTCAATGCCATATTGAATACATTTTAAATTTCAAATTGTTGTTCAAATTTCTAGCTAGGGGAAATAGTTGTTAAAAACAGTTCCTAAATTGATGAAATACAATAGATAGATACAAAAAATATGTCTAGGTTGGTTAAGACTTGGTCAAGTATGGTTCAGACTAGGTCGAGTATGGTTAAGACTAGGTCGAGTATGGTTCAGACTAGGTCGAGTATGGTTCAGACTAGGTCGAGCATTGTTCAGACTAGGTCGAGCATGGCTCAGACGCAAATAAAATGGTTAAGTACTGGTCGAGTGTGGTCGAGTACAAGTTCAGACTGTTAAGTATGGTTCAGACTACAGTCGAGTATTATCAAGTAAATTTCAGACCAATTCAGACTGGTCGAGTAAAAATCAGTACAGTCGAGTACAAACATAGGCCATTTCAGACTTTCAATGGTTTGTAGTGCTAGTAAAACAATATTATACTATTGTCTAAATATACAGAAATATAATTTGCTTCAAGTAACAGAAATAACTAGGTCACTAGTAACTTATTTAATGAGTATGTGGGGTATAAGAGCTTGCTAACAACAGGCTCTTCATAATCATTTGGGTTGAAAAGGATACTAGTAGTCTATATTCTTGATTTAGAAAAATGTAATTGCAAGAAAAAAATCACATTACTTAGAATACTTTAGATCATTCAGGTAGTCTTTATTTATATGTACAAAAGAACAGCCAGTAGTCATTGGATATTGTAGATCATTTAAATAGTCTTGACCTTTTTATTAGTACAAAAGAACAGCCAGTAGTCATTGGATATTGTAGATCATTCCGGTAGTCTTGACCTATTTATTTATACAAAAAACAGCCAGTAGTAATTGGATACTGTAGATCATTCAGGTAGTCTTGACCTATTTATTTGTACTGAAAAAACAGACACATATACGAATATCAATTATATGCTTATGAGACATGTTGTAATGCTAAACTTATTACGACATGTGAAAATCAAGATTGCATAAAAAATATCTCAATATTAGAGACAGTGGCGTCATTTTTCCTCAGAGCTTTCAGCTCTTTGATTTTAATAGAACACTTTAAAAAAACTCTTGCAGGGATACAATTACTTGCCTCTTTCATAACTCTGGAATAAAGCAGGATGCAAATATTGCACTGTGTAAAAGACCAGCATTTGTAAAAGTGCTCTTTTTATATACGACCACAAACAATTTTTGCGGTCGTATATTGGTATCACGTTGTCGTCGTCAGCGTCGTCCGAAGACATTTGGTTTCCAGACAATAACTTTAGTTTAAGTGTATGGATCTCTATGAAATTTATCCTAAATGTTCAATACCACAAATGGAAGGTTGGGATTGTTTTTGGGGGTGATGGTCCCAACCGTTTAGGAATTAGGGGCCAAAAAGGGGTCAAAACAAGCATTTTTCTAGTTTCAGGATAATAACTTGTGTATAAGTATTTTGATTGCTCTGAAATTGTACCACAAGTAGAAGGTTGCCATTCATTTTGGGGGTAATTGCCCAAATTGTTCAGGAATTAGGGGCCAAAAAGGTTCTAAAACAAGCATTTTTCTAGTTTTCAGACGATAACTTGTGTTTAGGTGTATGGATGTCTCTTAATTTGTACCACATTTTACAAAAAGAAAATTTCTTCAAAATTATTTTTTTTTGGAAAGGGGGGGGGGGGGGGGGGGGTAAAACACAATTTTTGTTTGGGGGGGGCAATTTTTTTTCCTGAAAAGAAAATTCTCTTCAAATATTATTTTTTTTGGAGGGGGATAAAAAAAAAGAATTTTTTTGGGGGGTCAATTTTTTTCCCTCAAGATTTAAGAAATTGTCAAATTTTTTTCCTCAAGATTTAAGAAATTGTCAATTTTCCAAAGAAAAAAATTTGGGGTCACAATTTGTTTTGCTAATTCTTTGTATATATATACTTTAGTCTGAAAACAGATTTGCTAAGTATTAATTAAGCAACAGCACAGTATTGCACAACAGCAAGAAATCTTCAATTGAATATAAATTCAAATCATACCACCAATTTCAAGTTCTTTGACACATTTATTCTCTGACAGAAACCTATAATGTGTCAAATATTTAATTACAATCCAAATTCAGACCTGTATCAAGCTTGAATATTGTGTCCATTTTTGCCCAAACTGTTCAGGGTTGGACCTCTGTGGTCTTATCCAGCTGCGCTCGACGAAGCAGTTTATTTATTGTTAGCTTGCCTTTAAAGCTCTTTAACTCCTTTGTTGACTACATATATTGACATTCCTTACCTAAGATCACCTTAATCCTTTCACCGATAGCTGCCCCAACAGAAGCTACTTTGAGACGATAGCTTCCCTGGCTACTATGCCTCAAGTGGGATCTTCATAATAAATATTAGTAAAAACTAGTGTGTAGTTATTTTTGTCTTTATTTCATTCACTTACACCATGTTCACAGTTTTGTTCATGTTTTTATAATTGTTTATTCATAAAAAATTAAAATTTTCAAATTTTCGGCATTATTTAGGTGCAATTCTCAATATTCTACTTTTTGACCCAAAATCGTAATTTTTTTAACCCAAAACGGCATAGGTTTGAAAAATTGAATGAGGCTGTACAAATTCCTTACACTGAACGATGTCCATTCCAAGTGTTTTGTACATAAAACAGCATTTTATGTCAAAAAAGAATACTAGTCTGGTTTCAATTCTTCCGTATTCTTTAAAAAAAATGTTCCCTTATTTCAATTTCTCGTAAATTCCATGAATTTCATCTGATTTTAACAAGGTTTTCAACAAACGGAAGCGCCATGTTTACACTTTCATCCGGGTATCAACAAAGAAAGATAACTCACGTTTGAAATGTTTTGAGCGGGAAATGTAAAAGAGGTATTCCGATCCCGGTAAAACGGGACTCATCGTCAGCTGTCTGAAGCCGTCGGCGAAAGGGTTAACTACAGATAGGCATGGTTGACAGATAGATCTAAGTGGTGTAACTATAGTATCAATAGTCTTTCTTTCTACCCTGAGATTGTGCACATGGCAGGTGCGTTTGACTCCAAGCTAAAAGCTAGCCACCATGAAATAGCCAATAGTGTTGAAAGTGGTGTTAAACACCGAAAACCAATCAATCATTTACTGCAGCCATCATGAATAATTGTAGATACAATAACATGTGATTAACGTGCTAGTTCAATTAACAATAATCATACATTTATAGGCTTGGTTTTGTGTAAGTTAAAAATACTCAGTAATGTCATTTGGCATCATAAATGTTAAAGTTTCTTTTATAACTTGATAAATTTAATATTTAATAAAATGTACTTCTAAGAACATGTATGAATTCTTAAAAAAAATTAAAGCAGTTAATGTCAGCTTTTTATTAAAAAAGCTAAAACTATATCAGAATGGAAGTCAAGGGCAACTTTTACCTTTATTTACTTTGTGTTTTTTTATGACTTGTAAACATGGTAAAATTTGTGTAAAAAATACATCAAAATACATTTATGTTTTTTTTAGCATTGAAAGTTAGTAAGTTGGCATGATAATTTTATGCACTTAAGTTTGGACATGTTACAATGATTGAATGTCAGGTTACATGTTCTTCAGAGTGATTAATGCGTTTGTCAGTGTATACAATACACAAAGGAATTTAAATTTTATAAAGACAACTTCAACAGGTCAAGGAAGTAATTTCAAACATGTCTTCCAGGTAATTGTATTCTTTATCATAATTTCATTTTAAAATAATTATTTTAAGGAGGTGAAAAGAGGGATAGGTCTTAGTTATTCACTTTTTACATTGAAACAAATTTTGGAAATGCTTATTTTTATTTTTGTAGACAGCTGGTATGCCATATGGTAGATCTATCATATACTAGGTCTTGCCAAACAAGTGTGATTTTTATTCTAAGAGGTTGTACAAAATGTATAAAGCAAATGTTTTTAAACAAGAATGCAATTTGTTGAACAAACAATTTTCGATTACTGTAACATTTGTACTTGATTGAGATGTTGTTGAGATTGCATATTTTTGCAGTACAAGAAAGAAAGTAAAAGTTGGAAAACAAAAAAGGACCATCGATTACCTCCCCTTAGAATTGCTCTTGAGGGTTTGAACCCATTTACTTGTCAGGTGTTATAGTGTCGTTTAATGTAAACTCATACAAGCTAAAAGGCTAAAAAATGCACTTTTCTTGATACTTTCTATAATTGAATCAAATTATCTTATTACTGATGTCAAGCTGACAATCCTGTACATGTATCCACAGTGGATTTGGGTAAAATCACTTCCACATTCCTATGTCCACATGTTAGTGAACAGTGAATTTCGAATTTTGTGAAAAAGGTTTGAGGTTAATTATTATTCCATATACTGAACTCAAAGGCAAATTCAAAGAGGGGAAGTCCATAAAAAGTGACAAAATAAAACGCTATCAATCAACAAAGCAAGTGAAAAACAACTGCTTTTTGTCCGACTTGGTACAGGTATTTTCTGAAGAACATGGTAGGTTTAACATGGTTTTATATCTAGCTGAACCTCCCACTTGTATGACAGTTGCCTATATAGTTACATTATATTGAAAAAATTAGGTGAGCAACCCAAACAGACATATTAGGTTAATGTGACAATAATTGACATCCAGCAGCCAAAACGGTGTAAATATACATCACAGACATACAACACTGACTAAACAATTCAAATAAACATACAACACTGACTAAACAATTCAAATAAACATACAAAATAATCTAACAAAGACACCAACAAAAAAGGTGTCGTAGATAGTAAATTTTAAATTTGACAATGATGATTATTAACAAAAAAAGTTTTTGTCGTTTATAGTACATAAAGTATATAGTATAAGCACTTCCTGATAAACTAAAAATTCAGTAAATATAAATACAGGGATAAACAAAATACAAATAACACTTACAACCCTTTGTGTTAGAATCGCACCTCAGGACCCACCTGCACCAGCTATGCCCAAAGTGAAAAAGTCTTAAACCTGAGGGCGGGATGTATACCGAGTCACGTCAAAAGTCATACGACCAAAAGAAATAATAGCACTAAGACAAATAACAGGGAAACTATAGTGAAATAAAACAATGCACAACTTGTACACCTAGAATCTATAACTCAAGACTATCTTGTATTATTTGTGAAGAAGACACTGAATATTTATTTATTAAGTTTTGGTCGCTCCCAATGAACTTTTTGAGAAAAAGGACGAGACGTTCTTTGACAAAAATGGGGCTCATTAATGTTTTGCTCAGACACCAATGACGTTTTTAAAAATGAGTAGCAGCTGCAAGCTCTTGAATATCGTATGAGTTCAAAAATGTATACTCCATATGCGGGTGAGGTTGATACATAGGTGCTAAGGTGAGGAAAATTTATAACTTCGAAATTGAAATCGTCTCGTTTGTCATAGATTCTGGTACTGAGATGACCGATTTGTCAAATTTTGTTCGATTGATTTTGTACTGTCCAATAGTTTAATGACTTTTTTAATTAATAATATATAAGATGGTATTCATATATTATTATAAATGCTCTTCCATCGCAGATCTGCAAATAAGGATAAAACACGCAGAGAAAGTAAAGATAAAAAGAGGACCAAAGAAACAGAGAAGAGTCAGAAAAAAGAAGCTGCAAAAATGCCACGATCCAGGTCAAGGAGTCGGAGCAGAAGTTTCAGCAGGGGACGCAACAGGGGGAGACAACAGAGCCGAAGCAGAAGTCACAGCAGAAGTTACTCCCCAGAGGAAGGATACAGAATACATGTGGCTGATCTAGGAATGGATCCATCCAAATCAGAGTTAGACAGAGCATTTGAAAAATTTGGACCGTTACTTGAAGTTTGGGTCGCTAGAAATCCACCATGTTTTGCTTTTATTGTTTACAAGTACAGAGAAGATGCAGAAAGAGCTGTTCAGGACATGGATGGAAGGTAAGAAGGGAGATAATCACATATAAAGGGAATACTGAGAAAGTTTTTCAGGACATGGAGGGAAGGTAAGAAGGGGAGATAATCACATATATAGGGAATACTGAGAAAGTTGTTCAGGACATGGATGGTAGGTAAGAAGGGGAGATAATCAAATATAAAGGGAATACTGAGAAAGCTGTTCAGGACATGGATGGAAGGTAAGAAGGGGAGATAATCACATATAAAGGGAATACAGAGAAAACTGTTCAGGACATGGATTGAAGGTAAGAAGGGGAGATAATCACATATAAAAAGAATACAGAGAAAGTTGTTCAGGACATGGATGGAAGGTACATGTAAGAACGGGAGATAATCATATATTAGAGGAATATAGAGAAAGTTGTTCAGGACATGGATGGATGGTTAGAAGGGGAGATAATCACATATAAAGGGACTACAGAGAAAGCTGCTCAGGACATGGTTGGCAGGTAAGAAGGGGAGATTATCACATATAAAGGGAAAACTCAGAAAGATGTTCCAGGACATGGATGGCAGGTAAGAAAGGGAGATAATCACATATAAACTAAAGGGAATACTGAGAAAGCTGTTCAGGGCATGGATGGAAGGCAAGAAGGGTGATAATCAAATATAAAGTGAATGCTGAGAAAGTTGTTCAGGGCATGGATGGAAGGCAAGAAGGGTGATAATCAAGTATAAAGGGAATACTGAGAAAGCTGTTCAGGACATGGATGGAAGGTAAGATGGGAGATAATCACAAGAGGATACACACAAAGCTGTTCAGGACATGGATGGCAGGTAAGAAGGGGAGATAATCACATACATGTATTGAAGGTAAGAAGGGAGATAATCAAATATAAAGGGAATACTGAGAAAGTTGTTCAGGACATGGATGGAAGGTAAGAAGGGGAGATAATCACATACATGTATTGAAGGTAAGAAGGGAGATAATCAAATATAAAGGGAATACTGAGAAAGTTGTTCAGGACATGGATGGAAGGTAAGAAGGGGAGATAATCACAAATAAAGGGAATAAAGAGAAAGCTGTTCAGGACATGGATGGAAGGTAAGAAGGGAAGATAATCACAAATAAAGGGAATAAAGAGAAAGCTGTTCAGGACGGATGGAAGATAAGAAGGGGAGATAATTACTTATAAAGGGAATACAGCGAAAGCTGTTCAGGACATGGATGGAAGGTAAGAAGGAAGATAATCACAAATAAAGAGAAAGAGATAATCACATATGAAGTTGGGAAGTAAGATTGGATACAGAGAAAGCTGTTCATGTTATAAATGAAAGGTTTATAGTAGAGATTATCACATGCTTTACTTTACAATCCCCTAGTTAGGAATTAATGAGTATCACCAGTACTACAAAGCAAACTGTTACAGTTTATCATTGTATTTAGATTGAGTTCAAGATTTCATTGTAAATTATTGGAAATCAATATAAGGTACAAATCAGAAAAACCTCTAAAGTAAACCTGTTCCATAAATGTATGTAACATCTGTGATCCTCCATTGGTAGAAATTCTTCAGTAATGGTGTAAGTATATGCTGATTGTTTATTTCTATATGTTAAGAACTATTTCACAAATAGCTGACAAAATTTTAATAAAAGGAGTATTTTTTTTTAAGACAGGAACTTTGTTTGAAATTCTTTTTCCTATTGTTATTGAAAAGTATTTAGAATGAAAAGTTTTGAGTTTTAGAAGTTTATCAATGTTGCATAGACAGATACAATAAAACACTTTATTGAGTGAACCAAAATGAATAAAAAGGAGAATTAGAGTATAGGTGAGACATTATTCTGACAACAAACCAACAACACTTAACAATCTATAGATCAACATACAGTCTTGATAATAAACAGGTGTCCACAAAATATATTCAAATAATTATAATAATATGATTGTTTAAAAAATTATAACAAAAACGAAGACCACTCTTTAGCTATATGTCAACTTAAACAGGTAATGATGCAGATTATGAACTCAGACTGAATGTGTATATATATATATATATATATATATCCTTTGTAGTCCATGTGTTATGTAAAACATGTTTTCTATGTATATAAGTGATTTAAGTCATGTTTTTGATTGATTACAGAGTTTTGAGTGGAGGGAGAATACGGGTATCTTTTGCCAGACCAAGGACCAGGGGAAGGAGGAGACGAGGGTTTGACCCAAATCTACGTTGTTATACCTGTGGGGAAAAGGGACACTTTTCAAGAGACTGTGTAGAAATCTGGAGACAAAGACGCAGGAATAGAAGCAGGTTTGTACACATAGATGACCTTCATGGAAGGTCAGTTTGATCTTTTCATGTGGATAATGTAAATTAAATTTTCTAATAAATAAGTTAGGAACTGAAAAGTATTGAGAATTGGTCAAGTCAGAAGTGGTAATGAAACTTGTTGGATTTCAGATTTTAATACCAGACAATCAGTGGATTTCAGTTTCAGGAGGTTTTTTGTTTATTATTGTCCTATTTCCAAATGACGTCATATTTTCTACCCTCTAATTCTACTTCCTGTTTTCAGAACATTCAACAACACTTTGCAAACTTTTAAGCTTTCTTTGCAATTTTTAAGTTATTGCCTATATTCGTGGAATGAATTATATAATGACCTATAATTGTTTACTTTTTACACATTGTGACTTGGTTGGAGAGTTGTCTCATTGGCACTCATATCGCATCTTCTTATTGCTTTAACTGAAACAAGCTAATTATATATAATTTACATACAAGATACAATAATTTAAGCTATGTTTTTATACGCCCGTTTATGGGACGTATTATGGTATACCGTTGTCCGTCTGTCCGTCCGTCTGTCGTCAACATGTCGGACATTAACTAAAAAAACGCTTTACCGTAGAAAGGCTTGTATAGTCCGCGGTTTTATTCTCCAAAATTGGACCTTCCAGACTGGGTGCGGACTATAGAGTACAATAGGCAAGAAATAAGAGAAAAATTTCAATTTCGCGTGCGAGGTGGTTTGTTTACGTTCCGCCATCTTTGTTATTTATATTGTAGAGGGCGCTCTTATCATTTTTCAAACTAATAATTTTAACTCATCCATATTAATAAGTGATTTCTATTCAATATCAAATTAATACTGATAAATATAAAAACTAAACCTTTCATTACAAATTTCTCGTTTCTTTTCAATGCATTGGTAGAAAAAAACTGGTATCTGCTTGATTGAAACGATACAACCATAGTGAAAAAGACAACCGTAAACCAGCTTAGAATTTGTAAACTACAAAACGTAATCAGTTATTGTTCGTTCCGTTTTGGTGTTTCATACTGACTAATATGGTTTGTATTAGCTTAAGACCCTTCAAACATTAATGTAATAGATATATTAAAGACTGTTTTACAAAGGGATGGAACTGTTTTACTTTTAAAGTCGTATTATAGTGATATCTGTTATGTACGGATTTCGACTCTCACCGGTTAATTTCTTCTTTTACACGTGCTTTTTAAACTTCCTGTTTAAACATACACAAGTTTCTAAATTGTTTTTTAAGTGAATTAAACTTATTTTAACAATCATGAAGCGTTCTAGAATCGTTTACAAGCAGTTTCAGCTTCTGTTTGATGATGGAAAACAGGTTTTTCCAAGAAAATACCGCAAACGACCGCACAGGATTTGAAATTACCGGAGTTTCATTAGACCTTTTCTAACAGTTACAAAAGTTTTTTTACCTAAAATTTCGTAGGGAGAAGGGGGTGCGGACTATGTACCAGTGCGAACTATACAAGCCTTTCTACGGTAACCAATTTTAATGAAACTTTGTTGAATTGTTTATATCTATTGACGTGAGCTCCCTTTCGTTTTTTATAAATTTTAGATTTTACGTTTCCGAGTTGTGGGGTTTTATTCATTAAAAAAAGGGTGATTTTCCAGTTTTCGGACAATAACTCAAGAATGCTTTCACCAACTTGCAAGAAATTGTGGTGAATTGTTCATATCTATTGACATGAGCTCCATTTCGAATTTTATATATTTTAGATTTTACGTTTCCGAGTTATGGGGTTTTATTCATTAAAAAAAGGGGGATTTTCCAGTTTTAGGACAAAAAATCAAAAATTCTTTCAGCAGTTCTTATGAAACTTTGGTGAATTGTTTATATCTATTGATGTAAGCTCCCTTTAGAATTTTATAAATTTTTCATTTATCATTTCTGAGTTATGGGGTTTTATTCATTAAAAAAGGGGGGGATTTTCCAGTTTTCGGACAATAACTCAAAAATGCTGTCAGCAATTCTCATGAAACTTTGGTGAATTGTTTATATCTATTGATGTAAGCTCCCTTTACATTTTTAAATTTCTGATATGACATTGAGAATGAATTGAACTTTATTTGTTTATAGTCTGACAACAGATTTACTAAGTATTGCGCAACAGCACAGTGTATTGCACAACAGCAAGAAATCTTTAATTGAATATAAATTCAATTCATATAACCAATTTCAAGTTCTTTGACTACATTTATTCAGAAACCTATAATATGTCAAATATTTAATTACAATCCAAATTCAGACCTGTATCAAGCTTGAATATTGTGTCCATTTTTGCCCCAACTGTTCAGGGTTGGACCTCTGCGGGCGTATCCAGCTGCGCTCAGCTTAGCCGTTTATTTTTATTATGCTATACAACAAAAGTCTCTTAACATTCGCTATTATGAATACATGAGAAATTTTGCAACCTACACAATCTTGTTTGATTCAGCACAAGATAAAATATTGATTGAAGCCATTAGAAGACCCTTTGTCTCATACCTTTGCAGAATACAGATTGAATAAGTCTTTTGGTCATACATTGCCTCTTACACTCCCACTCAACTTTTTCTTTAATGTTTGTGTTGTTTTCTATATCCATATTAAACCTTCAAGGTCACATTTGATGTTTTTCTATGTATGTAGCTTCACAAATTGTTCTGCAGAGTATATCCTTGGAATAATTTTACTTTACCAATACTGTAGCAGTACTATTCCCCCCTGTATTATGTTAGCACGGCTTTAATAGATAATTCATTACTGCAGCTTTAATACCTATTTTCTTGTAGTAGATTTTACACAGTTAATGAATAAAATCCTTTGTGATTATTAGACATTTTATAACTTATCACTGGCCAATATATTTAATGGACAATGAGACCTAGTTAGACATATATCCTTCCAAGCATTTTTTAACAAAAAGCTGATTGAAATTGTTTACAAATATATTGGTAATTAATTTTTCATTTTACAGTGATTTATACATGGCATCCTTACTATTAACTTATATCTAACATATAACTACTTGCCTTCAGTGTTTGGTTAAGAGGTTAATTTTACACACATCAAATTCAGTATTTTCTAATTTAATCTGAAATAAGGAGCCCATACCACTACTTGTGGACTGTCAGATTCTTAGGGTATTATCTGCTTAGGCTCTGGACTTTTAGTAATGATTTATTAAAGACATTTTGAAATTTTTTTGACCTTATTTCATAATTTTTACAAAAAACGAAGGAATTAAACCAAGTACACCTTGCACAGCTTAGGCTTTTCCTTTTAGACTTCTTTTAGTTATACAGCTCTAAAGATATTTGTACATTTTCGAACTTTTTGCTCTGGACATTCTTAGATGGGGTTTCTTTTACTGACCTTTAATTGTGGTAAACTGAATATGCTACTGGTATGATTATGAGGCCATGATTTAACTCTTGTTATTTCTATAGAGGTACATTTTTTTTGTACATAGACCACAGTATAATATCATAGAATCAACAGAATTCATCATATTTAACATTTAAAATAGCTGTATCTAAGATCCTCAACAGCAGTACTGTTGTTATATATAATGATAAAATACCTCTGGTTAAGATCCTCAATATCTACCTTTGTGATATCTTAACCACACACTTTCAGAAACATCAATCCATGCTTAAATTATTGTAAATCTTTAAACATGTTAAATTTTTTGCATCAAAAACAATTTGTATAAACCAGCTGGTAACAGAAAGCTTGTTTACAGTATATTGAACTAAATGAACATTGCATGTTTTTACTTTTCTTCGTTGTACTATATCAACTTGAATTTTTTCAAAGAATAAATCATGCATGTTACTTAGGTTGAACAAATGACCTTTGGTATATATAACAAATAAATAAAATGTAGTCCTAAACTCTTATATTTCTACCAGTGATATTTTTTTGCATGGGTAATAGATAGCTGCTAGATTATGCTTTGTATACAAAATTTTATCCTTACAGAATACTAGACATTGTTATAAAAACAAACAAATTCTACAGTTTCCGAAAACTCAACTTGTGGCCCCTCTTTCTAAAGTCATTCAACAATTAAGTAAAATTCTTCTAGATATAATTGTTTATTCCCCTTTTGAAATAATGACATTAAAGAAGTTTTTTGTCCAGTCTTTTGTCTGGACCAGTTGTACCCTTTTTATGAGTAAAGATGTAGTTATGGGCAATGGTGAATTTAAGGTATTTTTTTTGGTATGACCAGCTAAAATTTATTTTTTTGTATAAAAATACAGTTAAATGTGAGCCAAAATGTCAAGGTCATTTTAGTGTCATATGTTGTACTTTTCTGTAAGAGTTGCTGCTTGATTTAATTTTATTCCTATCAAAATAGATGATTTGTGAATTTTAGATTTTAATATATCGTAATGATTATATTGTGTGTTTTAGAAGGTTTGTATGAAGTTTATGTAGCAGAGACTAAATATTCGCTGGTTCTTGTACATGCTTCTTCTGAAGTGAATTTTTTTTATGATATCCCAGTTTACCAAGTACAATAATTTAAAACTATAGGTTGATATATATGTTAAGACAAGTTATTGCCATTATTTTGTTAAGGCCACACTTAAAATTTAATTTATAAGTTGTCTGCTGTATACCTGTTCATTCCATGTACTAGTGGGTAAGTATAGGATAACTGTGTTTTGTTCTTTAGAAAACTGAACAGTGAAAAACACATTTTAGATTTTTGTTTAAGAACAATTGTATTAATTAGAAAACTATTTTACTTAATAATTAAATATCAAATTTAAATTTGATCAATTGTTTTTATGTAAAATTACATATGCCAGACACCATACATTATATACATGGATCAAATTTTCCCTGCGGACTAACTAACATCCTCCACAACCTAACCAACAATCATGGAATGTTATTTTGAAGTTTTGAAAAATAATTGGCAAAATGCCAGTTTGAATAAATTTGACTGACTTTTAAATATTTTTGTCAGGAAAGTGGTACTGGTAAAATGTGTCAGATCAAAGAGTGGTTATGTGATAATGGTATTGGTGATGATTGGTCAAAATTTGAATTTGAAATGACATGGTTTATGATTGGTTCCTCTGTGTGAAGGAGCCATTTGATTGGTTGGGAAAACCATTGTAATGGTTGTAAGTGATGTGATGAGAGAGAATGTGTCATTGATTTGTGTCATATTGGTTGCGTTTGTTATTATTTATAGCAGGTAACAGGTAAGTAGAGACAAAAATGTGTGAACAATTTAAAAAAAAAAAACAAACAAAGAGTAAATTAGTAAAAAGCAAAAATTGATAATGGTGATTTTGAGTGAGTCACTGTGAAATATATCACACTATATCAGCAGTGGACATGGTATGTTCTTTGATCAGCAGAGGTCATGGTATGTTCGTTGATCAGCAGTGGTCATGGAATGGTCACATTAGCAGTGGACATGGTACATATGGTCATAGATCAGCTTTGAACATGGTATGTTCATTGGTTATGGTATGGTCATACATTAGCAGTGGACATGGTACATATGGTCATAGATCAGCTTTGAACATGGTATGTTCATTGGTTATGGTATGGTCATACATTAGCAGTGGAGATGGTATGGTCAGAGATCAGCAACAATGTTTCATAGTGACTCACTCATCACCACCAAGTTCCATTTTAAACAGAAGCACTTTAGAAGCACTATAAAATCAATTTTAGTTTCAGATAAGTATTCTTATCCAATCTCCTTCCAAGTATGACTTTGAGGTTCATAAACAGGGACAAAATTTTGCCTAACTTATGCCGGTTTCAAGTTAAAAATATCTTTTAATGTATTCTAAAAGTCTTCTTTTGGCAATCTATGCACCCTTAAAGTTATAAACTGCAAATTGAATATAAAAAAACATTTGAAGTAAACATGACTATCTAGATACTACAGGAATGTGTTGACTTAGCTAATTGTAAATACATTTTGAGTATTCAGAGATAGTTTCAAATATTTGTCCCTGTTTTAACCTCTATTGCCATATTGACCATTTAGCTTTGTCCTCCTGGTAGCTATAACTTCCAAAATAATCAGAAATACCCCCTCAAGTTAAAAGAGTGTTGATAACAAATGTTTATGATTATAAATGTTATGACTGTGTTTTATAAGTATATGATATATGATTTAGTATGACCGTTTACAACACCGTCTATGAAATAATTGACCTAATTTGTAAAACGTGCATTTTACATTTATTATTTTTCTGTCTCATTTCAATCATCAATCATTAGAAATAAAATGTAAAATCAAGGGAGATCTCCATATTCTTCAATACGTTATTAAAAGTGCAAGAAAACTTTGAAAGAGTCTTTTCACTTACCTAGTTCAATTTTTTCTGTAGAAATTATTTGAAGGATCGACTGAAAAGATGGGAGTTATGAAATTTTAAAGGGTAGTGGCTTTCATATTTCTAGAGGTAATACAAAATATCAAATTTTAAAAGGATCACCCCATAATTAATATTAGGGTGTCCCCACTATACATAAACCCTCAGGGAATAAACCAAGTTCATTTTAGTCAAGTCGAATATAATTTAAAATAATACCCTTAAAGATTGACCACAAAATACACTGTATATTGATTCTAAACTGTATTGGTGGCATTGATAGTGGGTATAGTTGGCAATTATAACTTCTGTTAGGAAATGTTTTCACAACAATAGAAAAAAAAACAATAGACATGACACATAGGATCCATACCATTTGAAAAAACTGTAACAGTAGTGAAAGTAAATCTAGAAAATCACTTCGAACGCAAAATTTATTAAGTGTCATTTTCATTACAAATCATTATGAGGAACCTTGATTTTACAGTTTATTTTAAAGAAGTCATATGTAAACATTCTCAGTCTGTTGCATGTAGCTTGGCTTTATAAACATGGTGCAGGGAATGAGGTAAAAATTGATCATTTGTTGACTGTTCTTTCATTGTCCCCCAAATTTAAACTTAAAAGAAACAGACTTTTTTCTGAAAGTTTGTCTTTTGCTTCATCAGAAAGTGTTGCCACTCAGTCAACAGCCAACCTATAACTATTGAGAATGCTCCTCATAAAATTTGGTACTTTACACAGCAACAAATGGATTAGTGTTTTAAGAAAAGCCTCATTATTATTTAAGTATAAACATGGATTTTTTTCTTATGCAGTGTTAAAACATTGGCAAACCGCTAGCAGTATTACAGCAAAGAATTCAGAATTATATAACTAATGTTAAGTGCCTATGCTTATAAAATATTAAGTGTTGATAAACCTGTTTGATAGAATCAGCAACCTCTAGCTCCAGTAATCAACTTTAAAGAATTGAACACTTGTAAGAAGATTGACGTGTAATCATTGCTTTAAAATTTTGATATATAGTGATAAATTAGAAAAGATATACCACATACAGAATAAAATATACCATATTTGAAAACTTAAGTATAAGGTTTTCTTTGGGCATATAATTCATTTTTTTTATCCTTTTAAATCTGTAAACAATCATTTTGAGTAAAATATTTTTGGTTGACAGAAAATGATAATACATTTACTGTGCTTCCCCCCTTCGGTTAAGATGAATAACAATTTTTAATTTGCTTCTTGTTTTACTGAGAAAATTAAAAAAATTTCCCTGGAAAATAAGAAATATATGCAAAGTAGTAATCCTTTGCTGCACCCGCTGTTATGGGAAAATAATTCATGTTTATACATTTGCCTGTTAAATCTCACAAATTACATAAAGGTTTTACTGTATATTTTCAGGGACAGAGGAGATACCTTCACTGCAAGAAAACGCAGAAGTTACTCGCGCTCCAAGTCCAGATCCAAATCTCGATCACCAAAGAGAACCAAGAATCGCAGGTTGGTAAATCAGTATTATATCATGCCATAGGTATTTTGAGATCAAGTTCAGAAACAAGTATTTAAGTGCAGTTGTCAACAATTAGCATGGAGAATTATTTGGGCAAAGATGAGTTGGCTATTAGAGTATGCTAATGATTAGGTATTTTTAGAAGTAGATCAGTATCTTTACCAGCTATTTGTATCAAGCTTTTGGTGATTGTAAGAAGAGGACAAGCTTGTTCAGAATTTAGTGAGAAACATACCAGGAATTTGGAAGAGACCGTATATGATTTATTCGGCTCTAGAATACTTTGTGATCATCAAGTAAAGTACAAATCAACCAAAGTTATTTATTGTGATTCGATAGGAAAGAATGTTAATCAGCATCCTTTTATATGCTCCTTGAAATTCTTAAAAATGTCTGTTGTCGTTTGTTCAGGTCAAGGTCACGTTCAAACAGACGCAGAAGCAGAAGTCCTAGGTATGTATATGATAGCCATCAATGGATCTAACAATTCACTACCCCTTCTAATTTTCCTCTGATTAATAAGAGTTAACTCCCTTTTTAAGTGTGTCTTTGAGAGTTGTCTCCCTTTACCTTGCCTCTTTTTTTCGTACATTGCAATTTAGTTATGGAAGGAATTATTATGCCAACAAATTATTTTCAAGATTGAACAAACTAAATTTGACTACAATCAATACATTCTAATGGTTAAGAAATAAGATGTTTAACAAAAATAACTATGCTTTCTGAGCGTAACGTTGATAAAAATGGGAGCTAACTCTTAGAAACAGAAGCGCACATCAACAAATTCTGCCACAGTTTATTGTTTGTGTAGTATAATGCCAGAAGCAAATCTAATAGAAGACCAAAATGTAGATAGAGAAATGGTGGTTTTGGGAAAAATTGATTATCTATTCCAAAATCAAGGATTCTGCAACATAATCTATGTCAAATCTAGTCTGTCTCAATTTATACTTTGTACTATTGAATGGTTACTGTAATCAGTTCCTTTTTAGACTTTGAGAGTTGGAATTTAGATTTTTATGCCCCACCTACTATAGTAGAGGGGCATTATGTTTTTCGGTCTGTTCGTCCGTCTCTTCAGTTTAAAGTTTTTGGTAAAGTCAGGTTAAGTTTTTGGTCAAGGTAGTTTTTTCTGAAGCTGAAGTCCAATTAACTTGAAACTTAGTATATGTGTTCCCTATGATACGATCTTTCTAATTTAATGCCAAATTAGAGTTTTGACCCCAATTTCACTGTCCACTGAACATAGAAAATGATAGTGCGAGTTGGGCATCCGTGTACTATGGACACATTCTAGTTGGATATATATCAAGATATTATTGGTTGTCAGTGCAGTTGAGTATTTTGTTCAGGAATAATTTCTTGTTATAGTTAAAATGTTGAATATTGTTTCTGTCCTAGGAAATTGTTTATGATATGTTAATAGTTGTAAATAAGATAAAATGGCTAACCATTATTGAAATATAACAATACATGTAGTAGAATAATCAGCATGGTTTACTGAAAGCTGTTGGACGGTATAAATGGAAACTTGGGAAAGGGGTTCATAAGTGACTTATGATGCAAAATGTCTAATCTTCATTCTGAGGTCATTTTCAATATGGTCAAAATAATCCCAACCATCTTCTGGTGCACACACTTTTCAGATTATGTGAATTAATGTTAACTTGTTTTCATATCAAATATGCATGAACTATTTAACATTGAGCAACCATCAATTGTAAGTTGTGTAAGTGTTGCTGGGTATCAGCTGACTTGTTCCACTTACTTCTGTTCTACAAGACTTCCATCATTACCACTAACAACATTATATTAAGTTCAGAAATAATGGAATTGTTACATATGATTTATTTATACTGAATGATACTTTCATTGCAATCATTCCCTGTAAGTCAGTTTCCTTTCAAGAAAGATGTAAAACAAACGAATATATTGCCGGTAATCATGGTAATTGGAATACAGTTTATGTTGGATGGTTAATAGTTAATTGTACAATTATTGTTCTTTCTATACAATTTAAAAAATTTTCCTTTGGCTTGTTTTTTTAGCGTAGAAAATAAATAATTGTATTACTGGTAAGTATTTTCATTTGAATCTGATTGTTAGGAATAAATTAGGTCCTGAACCAGGTAGAGTATATGCCATTTATTGTTGGAATGATTTTGCAAACTAAACAAACTTCAGCCTTTCCACTAGAGTTGGGTTTAAAAATAAGAACAGTTTGATAAGTAGGACATATTAACCTACATCTACAACTTGTATGGTCTTCACATGATTTAGAATTTGACATATAACACAGGCACTTTTCCATCACTGAAGAATTTGATTGACCTCTATATGTTGTTATTCGGTTTAATGTGCTGTGGAGTAACTGTTTTATTGCTGTTGTCCTTCATATCTTCAATAATAACTTTATTCAATTTTTCAAAATCTAAGGCATCATGGGTTATATTTTTCAAAGGCTTGTTATTCAACACAATAGATATATTTTGCCAAAATCAGGTTACTTTGTCTGCACTGTATAATTACTTGAACTTTAAAAATATTTGGAACTTTGTTTCATGTCCTGTCTTAAAACTTTATTTCAGGTCAAGGTCACCTGTAAAGAGAAACCGTTCAAGATCAAAATCACCCAAGCGCAGCAGAAGCAGAAAAGACTCTGAGAGAGAGAAGAGATCCGTTGAAAAGAAAAAGTCAGAATCACCAAGAAAGGAGTACAGATCCAGGTCCCGATCAAGATCAAGGTCGAGATCAGTTTCTAGACCAGCTGAAGATGTTAGAAAATCTAGGTCAAGGTCAAGGAGTATGTCATACCATGGTAATGGAGAAATTGAGCAAGACGCATGAACTGTTTGACAATAAAACATTAAATACTGAATTTTATAATGTTGTGGACGTAGTATCGTGACTCCAGAAAAATCTTCATGTTTGTTAATTGTTATAATAGATACTAGAAAAATTGTGGAATCCTAAATTTTAACCATTTTATATTTGTCATGTAGATACTTTCGTCATTTGATTTTGTATGTAATTTAAAAAAGGTTATTGGATGAAGTGAGCAATAATCATCTTTGAATGATCCAAAGGTCTTGATAAGTTATTGACTCAAACTGTCCGTATCAACTATCATCTATCAAAATAGACCAACAATTATTTTAAATCAATTTCATTTAATTTTTGCAGTGAAATATTATTGTCACCATATTGGTGGTTTTTAGTTCAATGAATGTTTTATGCCCATTAAATAAACAGTTATTTACCAAAATTGAGGAAAAAAACAATGCAGGATATGCTGTCATTGAAACACAAAAACAATTCTTAATTATGACTGATAATTGAACAACTAGGTACAAATTATATTAATGTGTTTAAATCATGCATATTATAGAGGCAGAGATACTAAAAGAATGATGAAACCTTTCAACTATTGTTTTACTGTCAAATTATAAGGAGATATTATAAGACTGACGGAACCTTTGATGTTTTATATGATGTTGATTTGATGTTTTTAATCAGAGATTTTGATGTATTTTATGACAATGTAAATGTTGTTTTATAGGACCATCCTTAAATCATATCTCATGAGTTTGTGGAATTCTGTTTTGAAAGAGAATATTATGAGTTACATTCATTAAACCTGATTAGATGTGTTCTAAATGACTTAATAATTAAGGTACATACATTCTATTTGAGGAAAGGTTAATTGTGTGATACAACCTATATTTTATCAAGAATGTTTGCAGGTCATTGCTCCTGTCAATTTCAATTTGATAGGTTGAGAAAATTTTGTGGAGTCATCCACACTCAACTTTTTGTATTACAATTTAAACTTCATCCCTGCAAAATCTGGTCAAATTTATTATTTCTTTAAATACTTTGAAGTGAAAAAAACATGGACAATCATTTTAGTTTATTAAAAAAAACTGACTTAGGTTTTGAAAATATGAACTTTGAATGAAGCTATGAAGAAAATGTTTAGATGCCTAAATAGGTGTTTTTTTCTTCTTTAGGAATTTGTTACATTCCATTTACTTTTCCAGAAAAATAGTGCTGTTCAAGCCATATTATTACAATGTTGATTGTGGCTTTTCTCTGCAGATTTTATAAATGATAAAATGAGGAGCTACATGGCGGTAGATTAAATTTTCTTACTGTAAAGTCTGAGTTTAATACCATTATTCATTTTAGATACATGATTGTACATTTTAAACATTTTGTCTTTGGTCAGAGTTCTTCATTAATCGCCACAAGTTTCATGCAAACCTTGATTATGAAACCAAGTATGAAACAAAAACTGATATTATAAGTCGTCATCTTACTCATGGACATAAATAAAGATTGAGTATCAATCATATGGTAAGGGAGACAACTTGTATCGATAACATTGTAAAATGGATCAATAAGAAATCGTGACTGTATATTGCATTTTTTATCATCGTTTATACAGAATATTAAAATAGAAATAAAAATACTGTGTCAATTTTACAAACAAATATTTCTATTTTTAGCTCTGTGTAAAACCACAATGAGAGGATATTATTTTATACTCTCAAAGTGGCACATCCTGCTGTTTGTTCATCCAACAAATGTTTTAGTCACATTTTTCTTAAGGAACCACAAAACAGAACCATTTAGTCTGAAGCTTAACAGTGATGAGTTTTAGTGTGTGAGCATGTATCGGATATGTCAGACACCTACTTCCTGTCTGTCCTATAGTATTATTTCAATATGTTGAATGTATTTAACATATTTCTTTACACATTT